TCGTCGTCGCGCGCGTCGGGCGACGCGCCGCGACTCAGGAACAACGTGCACATGGCCGGCCCGACTGCGCGGTGGAGCGCGGTGGCTCCCCGCCGGCCGCGATCTTCGACTCGCGCGCCCGCGTCGAGCAGGCGAACGGCCGCGTTCAAGTGGCCGTGCGAAGCGGCGGCGTGCAGCGGCGTCCAGCCGTTGGACGGCCAACCCAAGTGGACGTCGGCGCCGCGTTCGAGAAGGATCACGACGGCCAAGCACCAGCCGTGACGAGCGGCGAAATACAAGCGCGTCGCTCCATCTGGCGCATCCTCGATGCGCGCAACACTGTCCTCGACGTTATCAACGCCGACAGCGCTACCGGTTGTCACGCTCAAAAGCGCGTCGAGGTCGCCGCCCGACGCGCGATAACGTTCAGCTTCACGAGTCAGACTCCTAGCGTTCCAGAGCATCCATATGTCGACCATCGGGCGGGCTGCCCAAGGCCAAAGGTGCTCCAGCACGTCTCCACGGTGCCGAAGAAAAGCTATGGGCAGCCCGGGGGAGGCCTGAACCCATCACCGGCCTAGGCCATGGGCCGGAGCCCCGCGGCGAGCCCCGCGGCGAGCCCCGCCCCGGCCCCGCGCGCCCTCGCCCCCGCGCCGCCCGGCCCGGAGCGGCGCACGAAGGTCGCCGTCGCGTGCGGCGCCTTCGCGCTGCTCTGGCTGCGGTTCCACGCGGCGGCCATCGAGGCCGCGCTCAAGCACCTGGTCTGGTACTGCCTGTCCCACGGCCTGCTCCTGCTGCTCCTCGGCGCCGGCGCCGTCTGGCTCTGCTGGGACCGCGTCGAGGCGAAGCTGGGTCTGAAGATGGCCGCGGAGCTGAGCCGCGAGCTCGGCGGCGCGCGCGTGACCGTCGGCCGCCTCGAGTGGCGCTGGAATCGCTTGAGCGTCTTCGACCTCGAGGTGGGCAACGGCGAGGTGCCGGGCGTGGCCTGGAAGGCGCCCTACTTCATGCGCGCGGCGGAGATCTGCGTGGAAATCAACCGCTGGTTCGGGACGTCCCGACCAAACTTTGAAATTCTCTAGCTCGGTCGATTCGAAGTCGATTCGGCTGATTTTTGGACGGGTCGATTGCTCTCGTCGAGTCCTCGAAGCATAGCTGAAGAGTTTGCGTCGAAGCTTTCAAACACACTCATATTGAAGTCGGGTCGAAGATTCGAGTTCCGCGCAGGCGGAGATGACGATGACGACCGAGGACCTCCACGGCATGCTCTCCGTCTTCGGCCCCATCAAGCTGCGGGACGGCGCCTTCGCCATCGGCTACACGGAGCGGAGCGTGGCCACCATGCTCTTGCGCGAGTCGCGCGCCTTCGTCGAGGAGCAGCACGTCGACGGCAAGCCCGTGTCGAACACGGACATGTTCCGCCACACGTCGCGCGCGACGCTCGCCGCGGAGAAGGCCGCGGCGGCGCGGCGCCTCGCGCGCGAGGCCGCGTGGCGCGCGCGCTGGGCCGACGCCAAGCCCGCGGACGTCGAGCTCGAGCTCTGCGACGGCGACGCGGCGCTCGACGACGAGCCGGGCCACGCGACGCGCGTCCGCGGCGCGCGGCGCGCGCTCGCGTCCGCGCGGGCCCTCGGCGAGCCCGCGCGGCGCGCCAAGCTCCTCGGCGACTACGCGAAGAAGCTCCGCGACGACGTCGCGTCGACGGCGAAGCTCCTCTACCGCGCGCACCGCGACGGCGCGCCCGGCGACGCGTACCGCGTGGGCCGCATCACCGTCGAGGACCTGGCCCTCGACATGGACGGCCACGGCATGCGCCTCAAGGCGCCCTTCGTCGTCCGGGCCTTCGTGGGCAGCCGGCTCCACCTCGAGACGAAGCTCTGCACGTCGCTCCTCGGCGAGCTCCTCAACGACTCCATCTCCCAGGTCAAGGACCGCGCCGCGTCCATCCGCCTCCACGTGAAGAGCCAGGAGCGCGCCGTGCTCGACCGCGTCCAGGGCCAGCGCCGGTCGACCATGTCCCTCTGCGGCTGCGGCGGCGCCGGGGCCGTCGAGGACGCGGTCGCGGACGACGACGGGGACCGCGCCGCGACGCCGCCGCAGTGACGCACGGAGCCGCGCCGGGTCGCGCGCGGGTAACGATGACGTCATCGAGGTGACCTTCATCGACGGCCCGGAATCTTCTTTCCGCGGCAACTATCGAGATGGCAGCCCGGTCCGGGCTGAGATCATCGCGTTGAGGCGCGGTGGTCGCGTGCGATCCATGGCGCTCCTGCTGGCGCTGGCGCTGCTCGTCGCGGGCTGCGGCGCGGACCCGAGCCCGACGATGTGGCCGACGCCGTACTGGCCCCAATGGGACGACTACTGGGACTACTGGGACGCGGGATACGACCACGGCTGGGACTGCAGCGCCGCGTCGTACCCTTCCTACGTCAGCGACGGCTACTGCGACCCGAGCAACAACGTGGACCCGTGCTACGACGGCGGAGACTGCTGCGAGAGCACGTGCGTCAGCACCAGTAGCTACGACTGCGGCGTCAATGGCTACGACTGCCAGGATCCGTACGAATCGGACGCGACGACGCCGCTGCCGACGCACGTGTCCCACTCGACGCTGGTCGCGTACTACTCCTTCGACGACGGGACGGCCGCGGACGACTACGGGAGCCTCGACGGGACAATCACCGGCGCGACGGCGACGACGGGCCACGATGGGAGCGGCGCGCTCGCCTTCGACGGCGCCGACGACGCCGTCGAGCTCCCGCCGGCCGCGACGGCGGACGTCCTCGGGAGCGCCGCTCGCACCGTGTGCCTCTGGGCGCGCCTCGACGCCTTCGCCGGCTTCCTCCTCAGCTATGTCCGGTACCGCTAGCGGTACCGGACATACGGCAGTTTCAGTAACGGCGCGCTCACGCCCCGCTGTTATTCGCCGCTTCTGATTGGCTGTTTTTATTCGTCACCAAAGTATTCTCATTGAGTTGCGTATAAAATTGGGAACCGGGCTACCGGCCCTCTAATTTTTTGGGCGAGTAATGCCGCTAATACAGGCAAACCAACAGTAAGAATTTTTTTAATTTTTTTGGATCTACGTGGAATTCTTCGCATGAGAGTTTTTTTCTTCATATAGCTTGTATGTGAGAATATTTTTTTGGTCTCCGCGCGGCCGGGGCGATCCCGCCTGAGCCGGCCGTCGCCGGCGCGACCTTTTCGTCCACGGGCGCGGAAGTTGTCGTGACCTTCGACGCGGCGACGGACCTCGGCGGTGCCGTCGCGGGCGAAAAATTCGGCTGCGGCGCGGTCCTGTCGTTTGCCGGCGCGTCCGCCGCGCGGTGCTACTCCGGAAGATGTTCGTCCCGCAGTGAGCGCTCGGGCGACGCGGCCGCGGGCTCCGGCAGGTATGCGCCCCCCGGGTTGTTGTTGTTGTTGTCCGGGACGCGCGGCGAGCCGTCTTCTTATTATCCTCGTTCGAACTTGAACGGAGGGGGGCAGCCGGCCGGGGAGCTGCTGTGCGCACAGACACGCGTACGTGAGGCTTTAGGACGGCGCGGCGCCCGGGTCGGGCGGGTGGCCGAAGATGCGCTCGAACTCGGCCTTGGCCTCCGCCTCGCTGAGGCCCTTCGCGTTCGCGGCGTCGGCGTCCGCGCGCGCGGCCGCGGACTTGGCGGCCACGAGGCCGTAGGCGTCCTCGATGACCTCGTCGCCGTCGTGCCAGTAGCTCATGCCGTAGTCGAAGGTGAGCTCGTCGCCCGCGTCGATGGGCCGCGACCTACGCCGCGCGTCGGTGGCGGCGGTCCGCCGTCGTCCCCGGTCGGACGCGCTCGGACGTCGCCGCGGCCGCGGGACGCCGGCCGCGACGCGTAGATGGCGACGCGCGGCCCCGGGACGTACTCCGTCCGCGTCCTCAGGTTGTAGCAGCCGCGGCTGTGGTTGAGCCAGCGGCTGAAGTGCGCGCTGTTCGTCGCGTCGACGCAGAGGCCCGCGTCGTCGACGCGGTAGAGGAAGCGGTTGTCGCCGCCGGGGTAGCGCCGGTCGGCCTCGGCCTCGTCGATGAGCTCGCCCTCGTACCTGCGGCCGGCGCCACGCGTCGCCGACGCGGCGTCGGGGCCGAAGCGGCGCGGCCGTTTCGCTCTCCGACGAAGCAGCCCGCGGGGAGCGGCGACCGCGCGAAGACGCCGTCGCCCTTGCGGCCCGCGGTGCGCACCTCGAGGAGCGCCCGCGCGTCGAGGGCGCCCAGCGCCAGGCCCGCCACGGGGTCCAGCACCTTCTGCGAGCACCAGCCGGCGCAGGGCTCGACGACCCGCAGGCGCACCGTGCCGCCGACGGTCCGCGCCTCCGCCGTCGCCACGAGCCGGTTCGCGTCGAGCTCGCAGACCAGGGCGCTCGACGTCTCGGCGCCGCTGCGCACGATGGCGCCCTTGCGCACGCGCCAGAACGCCGGCGCGCCGTCGGCGGCGGCGGCCTGGGCAGCCATTGCCACCCACTGGAACACGGCACCTGACCCTCAATCGAAAGTTCAAGCTTCGCGCGCCGCTCGTCCTGGCTCGTCCTTAGAAGCGCAGGTCGCTGGCGTAGGCCGGCACGCCGGCGGCGAAGCCGGAGCCGGCCCAGTCCGCGTAGGACGCGCGGGCCGCGTAGGACGGCGCCCGGCCGACGTCGTAGCCGCAGGCGCCGCGCGCGTACGTCGGGGGCGCGCGGTGGCCGTAGGCCGGCGCGCGGCACCGCGGCGTGAAGTCGTAGGTCGGGAGGGGGTCGCCGTCGACGAAAAAGTCCGCGGCGTGCGGCTTGGCGAGGTAGTAGCCGTCCGTCATGGACCCGTAGGCGAGCGGCGCCGGGCCGCGGCCGAGGGCGCGGCCGACGGCGCGGTCGCGCCGCGGGGAGGGCTCGCGGTCCCGCGGGACGTAGCCCTCGCCGACGACGCGGTACCGCGCCGGCGAACTGCGGCGCGGCCCCTCGCCGCAGCCGCCCCACGCGCGCACGCGTCCCGGCACCTCGACGTGGCGCTCCGCGTCGTGTTCGTAGCGGACGCGCCGGTGGCGGTGGACGACCTCGCGCGTCACGTAGACGGGGTGCTCGTGGTCCACGACCGTGACGTGGCGCTCGTGGCGCGGCGCGTGCGTCGCCGCCATACGGTCCGTCGTCGCGCGGGTCCGCGCGTGCTCGCCGCAGACGTCGCCGCAGCGGCGCCCGCGGACCGCCGCGGGCCCGCGGCGCACGACGCCGCGCCGGGGGCGGGCGTGGTGGACGTGGTCCTCGACGACGACGTCGCCGGACTGGCGCGGCAGGCCGTAGCCCCGGTGGAGCAGCGCGTCGTCGTCGTCGTCCGTCGCCGTCCCGTAGGCGTCGTCGTCGCCGTCGGCGAACGCCGCCGCCGGCCGTCCGTGTAGGGCCAGCGCCGCGTGTGGTAGGCGTCGTCGAGGCGCCGCTCCCGCTCGCGGAGGGCGACGTCGTCGTCGAGGACCCAGGGCATCGTGGATAACGGAGCCAGCCCCGCAACGGACGACGGACCGGACCGTAAGATCGCGCGACTTGGATACATTCTTTGCGTGAACGCGAGTTGCCGCGAGCTCAAACGGTGGGCTGCCCAGCGGCGCCGCCGCGGGGCCCGCTCGTCGCCGCCGGCCGCGCGGCCGGTTCCGCCGCTTCCGCGCGCCGTTTCGCCGGCCCCGCCGGCCCCGGCGGGACGCCATGGCGCACCAGGTCGTCTCCGACTACACGAAGGTCAGCGAGAATGCGAACGTCAAGGTCTTCGTGCGCGCGCGGCCGCCGGAGGCGTCCGACGAGCCCGCCGACGAGCTCTTTGAGCGCGGCGAGGTCGAGAAGGGCCGCGTGAAGAAGCTGACCATGAAGCAGTGGAAGCGGACCGGCGCCGAGGGCGACCAGCACGAGCAGTGGGGCGGCGTCGGGGGCAACGCGTTCCAGTTCGACGGCGTCTTCTGGTGCGAGGCCGTCCAGGAGGAGGTCTTCAAGACGGTCTGCAAGGAGCAGGTGGACCACATCCTCAGGGGCTACAACGCCTGCTGCTTCGCCTACGGCCAGACGGGCTCCGGCAAGACGCACTCGATGTTCTTTCCCAAGGGCGGCGTCGACCGGTCCGACGCGGACCGCCAGGGCCTCATCCCGCGGGCCGTCGACTACCTCTTCTCCCGCCTCTCGCAGCCGGGCGTCGAGGCCGAGGTCAACGTGTCCTTCCTGGAGGTCTACTGCGACACGCTCCGCGACCTCGGCAAGGCGTCGCTGCCCGGCGCGCGCCGCGGCGTCATCCACGGGCCGTCGACGGAGAAGACGTCCGACATCTACCAGGGCGCGGCGAAGCAGCGCGGCGAGACCTTTGGGCTGGGCGTGCGCCAGCAGTCGGGGGGGCTGGGGCTCGCGAACTCGAAGTCGTCGCTGTCGATCAACACGGCGCCCCCGGTCCTCCAGAAGGCGGGCGGCGACGCGAGCGACCAGGGCCACTGGTACGAGCTCAAGGAGGAGATCCGCGAGGACAAGGACGGCGTCGTCTTCGTCAAGGGTCTAGCGAAGCTCGCAGTGAAGTCGAGCGCGGACGTGCTCAACATCATCGACCGCGGCCTCCGGCTCCGGGCGACGGAGTCGACTTCGATGAACGACACGTCCTCGCGGTCCCACACGGTGTTTACGATCGAGGTGTCCATCGCCAAGGGCGGCCGCGGCGGCGCGAGCGGCGTCATGGGCAAGCTGCACCTCGTGGATTTGGCCGGCTCCGAGCGCCTGAAGAAGTCCGAGTCCAGTGGCATCCGCATGGAGGAGGCGCTCCACATCAACAAGTCGCTGACGGCGCTGGGCAAGGTCATCGTGTCGCTGGACCCGACGGCGTCCAACGGCCACGTGCCCTACCGCGACTCGAAGCTCACGCGGCTCCTGCAGAACGCGCTGGGCGGGGATTCGTACACGTCCGTGCTCGCGACGATCCGGCCGACGCGGTCCCACGCGGAGGAGTGCCTGTCCACGCTCCAGTTCGCGAACCGGTGCCGCAAGGTCGCGAACAACCCGCGCGTGCACCGCGTCGGCGAGACGGAGGGCCAGGCGAACAAGGCCAAGGACGAGCAGATCCGCGCGCTCCGGGCCGAGATCGAGCGGCTGAAGGAGTTCACGCGGAAGCTCAAGAAGACGCTCGCGGAAGCTACCGGCCGCGACGTCGCCGAGTTCGGGTCCAGCGATCTCGGCGGGTCCAAGGTCGAGAGCTTGTTGTTGGGCGCGGCGCTCGGCGGCGGCGGCGGGCGGGAGAACCCGGCGCAGACGCAGGCCGCGGTCACGGGCGCGGTCATGGCGGCGCTCCGCGCCGCGGGCGTCGCCGGCGCCACCGTCGACGAGAACACGGGCGGCGTGCGCCTCGGCGACGGGCGTCTTTTGGAGGGGACGCTGCCCGCGGCCTTCGTGGCCTTCCGGAAGGAGGGCGAGCAGCGGCGGCGGTCGTCCGTGGCCGCGGGGAAGATGCGCCGCGGGTCTACCGTCGTCACGGGCATCGCGAGCCGCGTGGCCAAGGTCTTTGGGTACGGCTCGCCCCAGGACGTGCCCCAGGCGCTGATCAACGTCCTCGCGGAGCGCGAGGACGAGTTCGACGCGCTCAAGCGCAAGTTCGACGCGAAGAAGGACGAGATCGACGCGCTCCACAAGGAGATCGAGCTCAACGAGCGCAAGGTCATGACGGCGACGCTCGGCTCCCAGCACAAGGAGCGCGAGTCGTCGAAGCGCGCGGACGCGACGATCGCTTTAAAGGACGAGCTGCTCAAGGCGCAGGCGGCGGAGCACGCGACGCAGGTCGCCGCGCTCGTCAAGGAGAACGAGGACATCGTCAGCCGCCTGGCCAAGGAGCGGAGCGCGAACCCGCTCGGGGGCCTGCCCGGCGCCACCGTCGGCCCGCGCGCGAAGATGAAGCTGTTGACGGTCAAGGAGATGGGCCGCAAGGTCTCCGCGGCCGCGGCGCGCGCGCAGCGCGCCGAGGGCCGCGCGGCGGGCTCCGAGGGCACGATAGCGCGCCTCAAGGAGCAGTACGAGTACTGGAACGGCGTCGAAAGAAACAGACTTCAAACCTCTCGAGCTCGGTCAAATCGAAGTCGATTCGGCTAATTTTTGGACGAATCGATTCCTCTCATCGAGTTCTCGAGGCACAGCCGAAGAGCTTGCGTCGAAACTGTCGCATACGCTCACATTGAAGTCGGGTTGAAGATTTGATTTCCACGCAGGTACTGGCTCTCCAAGAAGGACCGGGACGCGGCCAAGTTCATCGCGCAGCTGAACGTCTACCGCGCGAAGAAGCGGACGCAGCTCGAGACCGCGGACCTCGAGCTCGTGGCGCTCTGGGACGCCGTGGACCGCCACGCGCGCGTGCTCCGGCGCGTCAAGGCGGGCAAGTACCCGCTCCACCAGCTCGGCAGCAACGTCGCCGCGCCGGCGATCCCGCCGGGCGACCTGCCGCCGTCGACGGAGGGCCTGGCGCTGGACCGGCTCCCGGCGACGCTGCGCGCCGTGAAGAAGCGGGACCGGGCCCAGCGCGGCCTCGACGAGCCCCGCGAGGGCGACGCGGACGCGGAGCGCGACTTCTACTACGGCGTCGCGCGCGCGTCGCCGCGCGCCAAGTCCGTCCGGAACGCGCAGCAGCGGTCGTCGGACTCGCTCCTGAGCAACCGCACGCCCGAGCCGCCGCGGACGACGACGGGCTTCTCCGCGACGCTGCGGGGCGCGGACCTCGGCGCCGGCGACGACGCGCCGCCGCGGCCCGCGACGGCCTTCGACTACGCGGGCGGCGCGGGCGGCGACGCCGACGAGCTCCGCGGCGAGCTCGCGGCGGCGCGGGCCGCGCTCCGCGACCTCGAGGCGTCCGTCGACGCGCGCGTCAAGGCGCGCGTCACGTCCGAGCTCTCCGCGCACGCGACGGTCCAGTACCTCCGGGACTTGGAGGAGGCGAAGCGCGACGCGGACAAGCGCGCGTCGGACCACGCGCGCCAGTACGCCCAGCTCCGCGTCGCCTTCGAGGCCCAGCGCCGCGCCGGCGACACGCGGGGCGCGCTCTCCGCGACCGCGTCCCGCCAGCTCTCCGCGGCCACGGGCTCCCGGCCCGGCAGCGCCAGCGGCCTCGACCGGTCCGGGCCCGCGCGGCCCGCGTCCGCGCGCGCCGCCCACCGCCCCCGCATGTGAGGCCGGCTAAGCGGCGGTAGGCGCGCGAGTACGCGGCGACGGCGTCGCGCGGGAGCGCGCTTCGCGCGGAGACGTGTTACGCGCGCCCGCGCGGCCTTATGGCCTGAGCAGCCCGTCGCGCGCCTCGGCCTCGCGCACGCGGTCCAGCGTGACCTGGTAGTCCGCCTCCATGAGCTCCAGGGCCGACGTCATGCGCTGCGTGTTGCCTGGGCAGGACAAGAGTGATTCAACGTGAGCGTTCCGCGCGCGCGCGTTCCGGAAAAAGCGTCCACGCTTCGAGACCGTTCCAAGAAATGATCGCTCGTCCAAAAGTCAGCCGAAACGAGTGGAAAACGGCCGAGAGAGGAGCCTTTGAAGTTGGGAATTTCGCTCTCTTGTCATGCGCTGCGTGTTGCGCATGCCGCAAACAATA